TGGGCCTTGAATGCCAGGCTAAAATGTGATGTGTTTTGACATATCAGGAAGGTGGCCGAGTGAAAACACCCATTGGGCAGTTGGACATAACAGTAATAAAGTATGCCAGGAACTGTGCAAAGTGCTTCAATGTCGATTACCTCATTTAATGCTCCAAATAGCACTGGCATAGATACTATTATCCCATTTTATAGATGAAAAAAACTGAGGTCTCAAAACTAGTACATCACTAGACCCAGGCCTGCCTGACTCTGCTGCCCATGCTCTAAACACAGCACTCTACAAAATAAGGTTAGCAGAGAGACCAGAACATGACGCCTCGATGTGGAAGTCACTTACACAGAGAGAGAGCATCAGAACAGAGGACTGCAGTTCTCATTTGAGCCCTCTGCTTCTAAAGACGGCACCCCCATCTCCATTTCCAGCCTTGTGGCTGCTTCTAAATTCCACTGATCCATCGCCAGCTGCCCACTGGATTTTGTCATCTCAAATTCAATACATCTACACCAGCTCCTGTCATTTTTCACCCCCTTCCCAACAACCAGTTCCCAACTTGATATTCCTAATTCTTCAAGCATAAAAAAAGGATCAAATTTTGTGTCAAACCAACCTGGGCTCAACTAGATTTGCCATATATACAAACCGTGAGGCTTTGGGCAAGTTACTGAACCTTAATGGGTCTGTTTTCTCATCTATAAAATGGGAACAGTAACAAGACCTTTCTTGGAAGGTGCTTGTAGGGATTAAATGAGATAATTTGTCTGTAATACATAGTATATATATAGTATAGTGCTTGGCACCTCGCAAGGATTAAGTAAATGGAGTGATTATTGCTATCACTGTTGGCTCTCAGGTTGAAAACTCCCTCTCCTGTATACCTTTTTAAGGTTAATCTGATGCTGAGAGGTGGGAGGAAAAGGGACCCACAAAGGGGATAGTGAAAAGTCAATGCAGTTTGTGCTCCCTGCAGTGACTCCATCCCTCTGGCTTTGGGGGCAGCAGTCTCTTTTCTACACCCACCAGAGAGAGCTGGGCTCTAGCCAAGACCCCCCGCCCTTCTCCTTCCAGACCTCCTCACTTGGAGGTCACCCAGTAGTGCTGTTGTTTCTACCTCTTCCATTCCTCTCTTCAGATTCGAGTCTGCATTCTGTGTCATCGCAGCTCTTATCTCCCCCAAACACCCTCCTTTCCTTCTAAGTATCTAGAATCAAAGTTTTAGAAATCGTCTAGTCCAATCCCTCAAAAACTAAAGTTTAAAATTAAAACAGACATTTAAAAATTGTTTTCTCACACGATTAAATTTGAGTCAAGTAGGCCTCCTTCCAAGCAATTTGCACGGATTCACCAGTCCTCATCGCAGACTGTGCATTGTGCACACACATTTGAGCTTTCACTGTGCAGAGCCAACCTCAGTGTGGGTCTGGCTGGGACTTGACTTACTCCCCTCCCTCACAGCCCTCGTGTGCTATCCAGCCCCCCAGAGATATCTGTAAGTATGGATTGCTAATGATTGATAATAAACAGGGCACTGATCACAATCACAAGCCCTCACACATTTGTACACCCTAACATCCCCTGAGGCCCATGGTAAATATGAAAGGAGAGATGAAAGGAGACTCTAAGGAGACAGGCGTGGTGTTTGTATACAGTGAGGGGAGAACAAAGGGAATGGGGAGCCTGGAGGTGGCAGACACGGAAAGCAGGCGAGACAGACTGTTAGATGAGTCAGAGTGAATGAGGGCACTGGGTCGCATCAGCTATCGCTTAGCTGCCCCCAGAGGGTAGTGTGAACTGGAAGAAGGGAATGGGAGAGCAGAAAAGGGGAGGTAATGCCGGAACCAGAGCGTGTTATAGATGGGAAGCAAAAAGCTCAGCTCATTTCCAGGAGGCACCCGAGCTCTCTCGCCTTCTCATCTGGACTTGCCGCTGGTGTCCTCGATTTTTTTCTTGCCTGGCTCTGCTCCCAGGGCTGCAGAATTATGGCAAGGCAACTGGGATGGCAGGGGAAGGAAGGAGTTAAGCTAACTGCAAAGATGTCAGTCCTGGAGATCACTGAGTCGCTGCTTGGCAGACAGAAGCCACCCGGTGGCTGCTAATGCCCCGCGTTATTTGGTGCTTTCAACATGTTTCAAATGTCCTCACACTAATGATCTCATTTGGTCTTCAGCACAACCCTGTGAAATCAGCAGCCCTGGGATCATCTCTAACATGTTCCTTCTCTCTTTCCCCTGTGGATCCCTGAAGAGTCCTCAAAGTGTTTCCTCCATCCTAGACACACCCAACACTGAACCAGGCGGTGCCACAGGGTCTATAGGGAGGTTGGGGTCCTCGACCTAGGCTCCATTCTAGGGTTCATTCTGGGCTTGCTCGCTGCTCTGTCCTGGGCTGGGCCTGATGAGAAGTCACAGGATATGGAATTATTCCCCTCCTGGAATTTCCCAGGCACCCCTCCCCCTTTGCTTACATCTGAAAGCCCAGCACACAATAACCATTTCACCCACTCCCCAGAGAGCTATGTCAGACTTGCCTCATTAGAACGGAAACCTGAGGACTAGAGAGGCGAAGGCCTTTGCCCTGAGTCACACAGTGAGCAAACATGGAGGGTTTCGCGATGACTTAGAAAGAACACAGGTCTGGAGCCACCAAAAAACCTGGGTTCCAGTCCTGGCTCTGCCGCTGATCAGCCAGGGTCACCGAGACAGTCACTCAACATTCCCAGTCTTGGTTTTCATTAACTGTCAAATGGAAATAATCTCATCTCTTGGGGTTGCTGGGAGGATTATAAGAGATCAAGATGTCAAAGTGTTATATAAAAACGAATTACCCTGATTATCAAGTAGCATAGGTAACAACAGGACTCTAGTGTAATGGAAAGAGGCTAAGCCAAATATAGAGTCCGGGTTCTCCTTAACTTACCTATGTGGCCCTGGGCAAGTCCCAGGCTCGGTTCCCTGGGGCCCCTGCCAGCTCTAAGATGGGGTTCTGAGGGCTATGCCTCTGGTGCAAGACTTCTGGCATCAGCCGCCCTGATCTCCTGACTGTCCTATTATCTGAGCCTCACATTGCTTTAGATCCAAGCATCTTACAGAGGGAGCTAGTCCATGGCCAACACTGGGAAATCCCATTGTTCGCAGTGGGAAGAATCCCATCGGAGTCTTTGCTCCATCCCCTCTACCCATTTCCTCAGGGCTGAAGTGTACTTCTGCCCTCTCTTAGCCTCCTAACCTCCCAGCCTTAAGGGGTGGTGGTGGGGTGTTAAGGGGAGCAAGGGGTGTGGCAGGGGGCCCTTTGTGGGTAGTGAAACCAATGACAGATTGCACGTGTAAGATTTCCCCGTGGAAAGCAGCAGACTCCCTGGATTCCCTTCCTCCTAGGGAGACCTTAGTCTACCTGTCCTACCTTTAACATCCTGCTTCTCTCAGGATGGACCCAAATGTGCCAGGCCCCTGATCCTTTCTTTGAGGAAGCGGCTCAGCATAACCCTTGCTGAGCTCATGGAGGTGAATTAAATATTAAATATACAAGACCAGAGCCCCTGGTGCAGCAGCACAGTCCCATAACACAGACAATGGCATCTAGCTCCTCTGTCACCTTCCAGCGGCTACAGTTCTCCCTCTCCAGGCTGGGCTTCCCCGCCACAGGAGCCCATGCTGTGTAGAAGGAATAACAAATGGCAATGTTTTGCTTTCCCCAGGAAGCAATCAGCTCATGGGTCCTTGTGTCCTCCCCTCCCCTCCCCCGCCTTGTGTTGAGGGCTCCAGGGACCAAAAATTCCAGGAACACTGAGTTATGGCATCTGCAGCACTGAAATTTAGCAGGTCTGGGGCTGGCCTGGCGGAGGCCTCTGTAGCTTAGCTCCACCTATGGCCTGGAAGCTCCCATGGGAGGGATCAGCTCAGGAAGGACACTGAGGCCCTGATATCTCTCAGGGCAGCGGGGAACTGGATCTCACTGGCATGAGGCCTAGGTGTGGGTTTGCGTCTCAGTTGGTTTGCTTCTCAAATTAATACGGGTCAAAAAAATTATCAGGTTGGAGGAGCCTCAGAAATCTCCCACGCCAACCTTCGATTTTATAAAAAGAGAAAATGAAGCTTGAGGAAAAAAAGGAAGCAACTTATACAAGGTCTCTCAATGAGCTGTAGAATAGCTAGGCCTAGACTCCGGGTCTCCGGTGGGGAGCCCGGTGCTCCTTCCGCCCTCTGTGTGATCCCCCAAATGATTCCATGCAATGGGGCCTGCCTCGCATGGGCCCACGTGGACTGCTTTCACAGGGAGCAGAATCCATTCATAGTCCCGCCTTGCCATCCAAGAACTGAAAGGGCTTGAGGCCCATGGGTTCCTGCTCAGCTCTGCCACTTTGTAGCGTAGAACCTTGGTCATGTCATTTCTCTGAGCCTCAGTTCCTCACCTGTCAAATGGGAATTTAAGAACCAGCACCCCAGATGGCTACTGTGAAGATCAAATGAGATCATGTATGTGGGGCATTTTGTAAACTGCGAAATGCTATCCAAATGTCAGATATTATTAAAACAGGGTAAGATCTGAAGGTGCTGCAGAGAGAGGCCACAGGGAGGAGGCCATGCAGGAGTGGGAGCCCACGCCCAAATGAGCTGAGGGCCTGCCTGGCTGTCCCATGGACCTGACTGCTACTGGGGGTCACTGGCAGAGGCTGACAAGCAGCAGGTAAGACTAGCTCAAGCTCAATGGCGTGAGAGACCACCTGCCTGCTTTGCAGTGTGTGTGTGTGTGTGTGTGTGTGTGTGTGTGCGCGCGCGCGCGCGCACGCGCATGCTATTGCACCCATCCTCCTAGGTGCTCTTAGGAAGCTCTGACTGAAATTTGCCTGACTGCTCCAGGGGAGTATTTGGCAGGAGGGCAATGTATGGCGTGGAGGGAGGACACCTTGCTTCAAGCCATGTCACAGACCTGCGAAGAAAAGCCTGCCGGCCCAGATCCCTCTGGGGGCCTCTGGATGCCCCTGCTCCCTCTGGGGCCCTTACCTTGTACTTGGCTGCGAGCAGCTCTGTGGCCTGCTGCTCACGTCTCAGGTCCTCTAGCATCTTCTCCTTCTCCTCCAGCAGCTTCTGCTTCTCCTCGCTCACCAGGCTGCGGTCATCCTGGATGGCGGCCTTCTCCTCCTCCAGCCTCTCCTTTTGCTCCTGAAGGTAATTCTCCATGTTCTTGTCCAAGGCCGACTCCAGGATGGGCTGGGGTGGGCGGTGGTTGTTGTTATTGTCATCCTCCTCTTCGGCCACCCAGGCCTCGATCACTGGCCCCTCAGGGTACCCGGCCGGGGCTGACACGGCCTTCTTCCTGCGGCTGCTCTTCCTCCGGAGCCGCTTCCCCAGCATCCCCTTCTTCTCCAGCTGGGCCTTCAGGCGGGCGATCTCCTCCTGGAATTCCCGCAGCAGCGTGTCCTTCGGGTCCTCGTTCACTCGGGGCTTGTTCTTGATGTTCTTGGCCCGATTGGCAAAGCGCAGGGTGGAGAGGCTCTCGTCGAAGCTGTGAGACGCTGGACCCAGGGTGGCCACCATGATGGTCTTGGCGTTTCCCCCGAGAGAGTCCTGGAGGAGCCGGGTCAGCTTGGAGTCCCGGTAGGGGATATGGGTGCTCCTGTTGCCCGCCAGAGCAGCGATCACGTTGCCCAGAGCAGACAGCGAGAGGTTGATTTTGGAGGCTTCCTTAGGCCTCTCTCCACCACCACTGCCCCCGCCCCCGCCGCCACTCCCGGTGGACTGTGTGGCCGTCCCTCCAGCTGTGTTGGGGCCTGCCTTATTCTGCCGCTCACTGCCAGCCAGGTCCACCAGATTGAGCTTGCCCACACGAATGTGATCCTGGCCATCAGAGCCACGCTCACTGCACTCCACAGTGATGACAAAGATGGCGTGGGAGCGGGAGCTGACCTCATTCATGTGTGTGCTGCCCACCGCCCGGGTCTGGTTCCCCAGGTTCATCACGTGCTCGATCTCCTTGACATTCTTGGTGACGAAGGAGGAGAGGTCCTTGATGTAAACGCCTGTCTCCGGGTTTTCCTTCAGCTCCAGCCTCTTGCCAGGCTCCTTGGAGAGCAGGTCTCGAATCTCCTCCTGGTAGATCTCCAGGTAAGAGGCCCTGACCAGGTACTGCTGGTTCTGGGAGCGCGAGATGTGGGTGAAGATGTGCTCAAAGGCATTGGGGATGACCCCACGAAGCTCCGGCTCCACCCAGGTCCCTTGCATGGTGTAGGTCTTGCCAGTGCCCGTCTGGCCATAGGCAAACACCGTGCCATTGAAACCCTGAAGCACCGAGTCTACCAGGGGCCTCACAGTTTCATCATACAAGTCTGCCTGCTTGGAGCTGGCATCATACACGGCATCAAAGGTGAAGGTCTTGGGCAGCTCCCCCAGGGCAGCCCGGGGGTTCCGCAGGGTCACCTGGCCCAGTTTCACATCCATGGTCAGGATCTGCTCGTGACCAGCAGCCTCCTCCTTCCGGCTGAGGGGTCGGCACCGGGCCACCACCTTCAGGGCCTCGCTGGCCTTGGTTTTACTGGCCATCTTGCTCCTCTACCTTTCCCGCCCCGCGGCCCCCTCCGCAGCCGGGGCAGTCCTGCGGTCCTCCCTAGGTAGGTATCAGCGGGGCCGGCCCAGCCCCCAGGCGCCGCTCTTCAATCCGCATGCAGCCTCCTAGGGTGGGGATGCTGGGAGGTGGCCCCGCCGCTGCTGCTGCAGTCCGGGCCTCCTCCGCTCTCCGCTGCACCGGCTGGGCAGGGAGAATTAGACAGAAACCCCGGGCAGCCGTGGGAGCCGCGCCGGCCGAATGGCAGTGCCGGGAGCCCGCCCCATGCTGGGGCAGAGGAGCGCTGCCGTAAACAGCTATGGCAACAATGAGATAAAGGAAGAGGAAAATGGGATGGGGGTGGGCGGCAGAGCTGTCTTCTCCTCCTCCTCCACCCCCTTCTCTAGGGATCCATGGCGGGGGGCTGCAGGTCCTGGGCGGCCGGGGGTCCCGGGCCTCCAGAGGGCAGAGGCTCACCTGGAGTCCTCCCCCCGAGCTGGGGGATCATTCATTGCAGCCAGCGCTGCTGCTGCTGCCTCTGCCTCCGCCTTCTCCGCTGCCGCCACCCGAGAATGAGAGAAAAACAGAAGGGGATGGGGCGGAGCAGCGGCGGCGAGAGTGATGTTGCAGCCGCGCTGCGGCCCCAGCTAAGCCGCCCAGCTGGGGTGGGGCAAGGGGAGGGGCCGCGGGGAGGGAGACGCGAGCCCAGCGCTGCCGGTGCGCGGGATACAAGGGTGCATCGCCGACCCGCACCCCCGCAGACCCCTTCAGAATGACAGGCTCGAGAGCCGACCCACGTCCTGCGCCCACCAGGCGGGTGCAGCGCAGCCACCGCCCGCCGTCACCCCACTGGGCCTGAGCATGCTGGGAGTTGTAGTCCTGTCTTTGTTAACCCAGATCCGGCAGGTTGCCGCTGCCTTCCCAAGTCTGGGAGGCCCCACCCTCTCTGGCATGCAACCTCCTGGAGTGTCTGCTCAGGCTGCAGCCTACCTGGTGGGGAAAAGTGGGTGATATACCACCCAACACTTGCTCCACAGCCACCATCCTCCGTCTCTCCAATGCTCCTGCCTTTCTGTCTGCAGAAGTTAGATGTTACTGCTCCCTTGCAGGGGGTCGCTGGGTATCCTAACTCCGAAATGTTTCTTGACTCTGTCCTTTCTTCTCCCTACCCTGGTTTACTTCTGGCCTTCCTATTCTCTCTCCTGGAACGACCTTCCAGCTGATTCTCTCCTCACCTGTTCTCTACACATGCACCCTGGTCCCCTCCCCTCCTCCTCCACCTTCCATATTGTAGAAAAGGCTCTCCATCTTCTTTTTTTATTTTTTAAGATTAAGTGAATTTATTTATTTTTTAGCTGAGCCATCCCGACACCTGTTGGCAGCTCAGTGGCAGCTCAGCTCGGGGAGGGAATCAAACCAGCCACCCTGTGGCTCAGAGCTCGCACTCTTAACCAACTGAGCCACTCAGCCAGCCCAAGGCTCTCCATCTTCTGACCCCTGCCTAACTTCCCAGCCTCCTCTCAGCTACTCCTGTATAGAATCTATATTCTATTCCTTCAAAAAGTTATCCAGCACCTGCTAACCCCCAGGCCTCATTCAAGGAACTGGACCTTCCTGTCCTCAAGGAGCTCACATTCTAGAAAGCATGTTTTGTTTAACTGGATGTACTGTGTTATGTCTTTGTGCCTTGGCCCGGAGATCCCTGTCACCCTTCTGCACTTGGTGCCCTGCCACTTGGGAGTTCAAGCACCTCCTCTGTGAAGCCTTCCCTGACCAATGTCTTTTCATAGCAGAAAGAGACATAGAATTTGCATGAAACAAAACTTGGGTTCCAATTCCAGTTCTGATCTCTACACGGTTGTGTGAACCTGGGCAGTCACTTACCTTGCCCCAGCCACAGTTTCCTCATCTGTTTCAAGGAATTTGGAGAGGGGGAGAGAAATAACACCTACTTCAGGGAGTGGTTGTGAGGCTCAAATGAAACAATGAATCATAAAAAATTGTACCAATGAGAAAACTTATTTTTAAGCAAGCCCTTAATAACACACATAGCCTTGGCTTGCCTGATAGTTCCTGCTTCCTTGAGTATTCCGAATATGTCAGGTCTGTGCTTGGTGTTTCTCTTTGGGGTCTTCATATTTTTTTCCTGTAGGATACAAATCAAGTGTAATTCCTCAAGTTCAAGGACCAAGCCAGTAGCCTACCCATGTTCCACTCTGCAGAGGGGAATTGAATCTGTGGACTGGGCCCCAGTTATCCTTACCTTCCATGTGAGATCCAGATTGAGGAGGTGCTGTTATCTGAAATCTTGAAGTGCTTCTTCATAAAGCCACCAGAAGAATCTGTCCACAAAACATTTCCAATCATGTTATTATCTAGAGGGCCTAGGTGTTTAGTTGTTCAACTCTACAGAACCGATCTCCTCACTTCTTCCCCATCTTCAAATCCCCAATACCTGAATACCAGCTCAAATAGAAGCTTGAGGCTTAGCTGGTGGCTGGCCCACTTCTGATGTTTCCTGGCATTCCTTGCCCTTTCTTTAATTAAACTCCACTGTTTGTGATTAACTTGGCTTTCAGCCTAATTATTGGGTGGGATTTTGGCTTTGAAGACTAACCTCTCTTGGCTCTGGCAGCCTGACTTCTAGATGGACCATTTGACTTTTGAACTATTTTCTTGTTGCACTTGGCTTTGGTTTTTGGACTATCCTTTCAAATGCTTTGGCTAACTCACCTGATACTACCGCACTGGATATAAGGGATTCTGGCCAGTTCTTCCCACCTGATGTCATCACCTGGCGGGGCACTTGCTCAGATGCTCCCATATGAGAGGGAGACTGGGTTCCCATTACTTACAAGTTTTGTGACTCTGAGGAAATTATTCACCTTCTATGAACAGCTATTTTCTCAGTGGGAAAAATGAGGATAAGAATGTTTACCTGACTCACAGAGTTTATATGAAGATTAAGTGAGATAATGTATGTGAAAACTCCCAGAGCATAGAAGTCATTCAATAAATAGTTTTCTTTCCTTTTGTCCTTTGCATTCAGGTTGTTCACATTCTTTGTCTCCATTTTCAGCATTGTCTTCAGCCATCCTTCCTCCCCTCATCCTCTTAAATACTCAGGTCTTTACTCCCTCTAGTTTGCTTAAGGTCCTCCAAACACACCATACTTTTTCACATCTCCATGCCTTGGCTCATGCTGCTCCTTGGCCTGAAATATCCTCCTAACTTTGTCTGTTGCTGTCTACAGAGCCTCCCCTTCTATTCATGCCACAACTCCATCTCATATGGCTTCTCCTCCTGCCGCTTAATAGAAATTTCCCCTACCAGGGACATCAATGAACTCCATGGCCAATTCCAGTGGGCCCTTTTCAATAATCCACTTCTTTCTTTGTCAGACTCTCATTGCCCATGGTTTTCATGACCCTGAACTTTTCTGGTTTTCTTCCTACAGCTCCTAGGAGTTCTGGTTGTTCAATTTCAGTCTCCTTAACCAGTTGATCTCATTCAACCCCAACATCAGATGTTGGAGTTCACTAAGTCCTGAGCCCTGTTTTTCTTTTAATGCCACCCTCTAGTGATCACTACAGCTTATGGCTTCAATTACTGTCTAAATGATTTCTAAATTTGTATCTCTAGTCCATATTTCTCCTCTGAGCTCTAAATCTATATATCCAGTTCTCTAATGGACACAGCTACTTGAATGGCTCTTATGCACCCTGAAATTCTATCATTCTCCCATCCTAATTTGGTCCTCCAAGAATGGAGGACTCTGTAAAATATGTCCCCACCCTCAATATATCCATTCAAATACCAAATCCTATCAGCTCAACTTCTTAAATATTTCTCAAATCTGTCAACTTCTTCTCTACTTCCACGGCCAGTACCATGACCCAAGCCATCATCTCCTCTGGTCTGGCCTCCTACAATAGCCTCCAATTTGGTCTTCCTTGGTCTGCTCTTGTCTCCACCCATCCACACTATATAAAGTAATCTTTTAATAACACATGACTGATCACATCACCCCATGCTTAAAACCTTTCAATGCTTCTCACTGTTCTTAAGGTAAAGTCTATATCATTAATGCAGCCCCCAGGCCCTACATGATCTGGTACCTGCCCATATCTCCTGTCACATCTCATGCCACTCTCTACTTTGCTCTCTGGTCTCTTGTTACAATGGCCTTTTTCAGCTCCCTTCCAACTTCCTACCACAGGGCCCTTATACATTCTGTTCTGCTGCACAGAACAATTATCCTCATCCTCTTCACCTACCTACATACCTGTTCTTCATCCTTCAGCTCTCAGCTTGAATGTCACTTCATGAGGGCACCTTTCTTGACTTCTCCATCTAGATTATATCCCTTTGTAATATGTTCTCATTCATCCCTGTATTTCTTTCACAGAATTTAGCATCATTGTAATTAAATAATTATTCATCCACCTTCTCTGTTGTTCTATGAAGACATAATATGTCTGTTTCATTCATTTTTGTATCCATATAACTAATCTAGTTCCTGGCACATAGTAGGTGCTATTGGGTCATTGGAAAAGTCATGATGCATTTTTGCCTCGAAAAACATAGAAAAAATATGTCATGACTTTTCCGACAGCCCAATATTTTTATAAACAAATGAAAGCCCTATATGAATATTACCTCTTCTGGGAAGCCTTCTTTGACTCCCCTGATTCTACCTTCTAACTAATCTTTCCTTTCCTCATGATTCTATAGCTCATTGTTTAACTAGTCTTACAGTACTCATCATAGTCTGACTTGTACTATGGTTAACTGTATCTGTCTCTCTCACCATAATGTATACCGCCCTGAAGACAGAAGCTGTGGTTTTGTCTTTTTGTCTCTCTTCCTCATATCTAGCACAGTACCATATATACTTTAGGTAATCAATATCAGTTGCTAAGCAAATGAATGAAGACCTTCCAAGACCTTCAGGGCAAGAAAACAGGGAGGCAAAAATTCTTATATCTAGAGAAGTTATAGTTAATAGAGTATTATCACATGTTACTTACTTGATCCTCATATCAACCCCAGGAAAGAGGAAAATATTAATATCCCCATATTGTGAGGACTCTAAGCTTCAGGCTAATTAAATGATTAAGGAAGAGAACCCAGCCACCAAGTGGTACAGTCAGTCTTCAGGCTTCAAACCTGCAACCCTGGGGGTCTTTCTCCTATGTCACAAGGAAGGCTTACTGTGGATATGGCAGAGCAGTTGCTTCTCCATCCTGGTTTCAATGACAGTTTCATTGGAGTCTAGACCCATTGTCGACTTGAAAGGAGGAAGCTTCCTCTATTGCTGAAAGTTGTTTTTTCCCCCAGGGAATTCCCATACCAACTTCTTTTTCTAGTATGGTTCCAGTAACAGCCAGGGTGAGATTATGCTGAGAAGACAGAGTTAGCTCTTTAGCAACCCTGGGGTCTGTAAATTTTCAGGTGCAAGTAATTCAGGATTGGGGTTTACACTGTACTGTAAAGCCATGTTCTGTCAGCAGAGGGAGACATGAGTATGTGACAAAAATCTTTGGATGAGATCCAAATTTCTGGGCTCTCACTCACTGTGACATTATCTAATTCAAGAGACCCCCAATTGTGTCCAAGTCTAGAATAATTATAGTTCCTCTTTTCCCAATAGCTTATTTTCCCCTTCCTCTACTGTAATTTCTGGTGAATTGGATTTGAGTCAATTCCCCATCCTCTTCCCGAAAAGAATAGAAAAATCTGAAATTTAAAAAAATCTGAATATTAAAAAAGCACTGTCCTTAGCAGCTACCCTTTATTGAACCCTAATAGGTGGGTTAGGGATGTTTTGTCTAACCTTCACATTAACCCAGGTGGTACTGGGTGGGACTGGAGTCTAATTTCTCCAGCTCCAAAGTCTGTTGTTTTCCCACCTGCCTGTACTGGGCCCCAGGCTCAGCTGTCAATCCGGGCCAGCCCTGGACTAACTCCACCTTCTTCCTTCAACATCCATTTCAACTCTTGCCTCCTCAGGAGAGATGTCCCTGCCTCCGCCAGCCTCGGGGGTCTCTTCCTTTCTTTACTTCCTGTGACAGTTAGTGTCTGCTTTTTATTTTTTATTCTTTTATGGCATTATCCATCCATCTATGAAAATACTCTGTCTCCCCAACTTGGATTTCTTCTATTTTGCTATACTTAATTTTCTCATCACAAAAGTAATTTAAGAACATGTTTTGAAGAGTTTTCACCATACTATATATAGAATTGGGTATCCTAATTTTTTTTTTAATATTATATACATTATCAACTCTCCTTCCTCTTGCTTTACATGTAATCCATTGACAAATCCTATCTGGGATCTGCCTGCAAAATTTATCAATCCTGACTCCAGAACACTGCGTGGCACCACCACTGTCACCCTACTCCATGCCACCTTTCTCTCTCACCTGGACATCACGGTAGCATTTTAACAGGAATCCCTGCTTCCACCCCACTAATCTCCCTCCCCCACAGAACAGCCAGAGTTTTCCTTCTAAACTATGAATCAAATCATACCACTTCTTGCTCTCAACCTTCCAATGGCCTCTCATCACCCTCAGAATAAAATCCAAAATCCCTTACCGGGGCATATAGGCCTTCCACGATTGGGCACCTGGTTACTTCCCCCATTTCATGTCTTCATTCCTCTCCCCTTTCCTCACTCTGGTCCAATAACACTGGTCCTTATTCTTCAAGCCTGCCGAGCACATTCCTATAGTAGGGCCTGTGCTCTTTCCCCCTGCCTGCAGGCGTTTTCTCCCATGGCTGCCTGTGGGTTCCCTCCCTCACTTCATTCAGTTGTGTTTTCAGATGGCATCTCCTCAGAGAAGCCTTTTTGACCACGCTTCCTAAAATATCTCTTCATCATTCTCTTACTCTTACTCTTCTTACTCTGCTTTGGTTATTCATAGCACTTGCCACAATGACATTCTAGATGTTTCTATATCTGTTTGTGGATTATCTTTCCATTAGGATGCAAGCATCATGAAAGAATTTTATTCTGTATCCCAGTGCTTGGAAATACGACCGATTCATCATAAGCCCCCAGGAGACATTTGTTTAATGAACAAATGAGTGAATGAAGTTACTAATAGCCTTCACGATCATTATTTTGAATGGGTGCTTAACATTTTTTATTGTGAGATACTAGGTTGAACCATATAAAATTGCCATTTTGTAGATTAAAAAATGGTTGAATACTGGCAATTTCACAGAGTTCAGTCAAATAAAACACTCAGGAAGTTGCATTACATAAATATATATACTGCTTAAAGAATTATTATAAAACGACGTCCCTATACCGACCACCCAGGCCCAAAACAAGACATTGCCAGCATCCCAGAAGTCCCCTGCAGGAACTTCTGCAGTCACAAGTCCCTCTTTCGTCTCTGAGGTTCACTACTTTTCTGGCTTACATGATAAACACTCCCTTGCTTTTCTTTGTTCTTTTACTATCGAAAGAGTACGGTTTTCTTTTGCCCATTTTTGAGCTTTACATAGTCATCTGGTGTGCATTTTTTTGTATCTGTTTTTTTTTCTGGTTTATTCTTTTATTTGACAGACTCATCCATGTTGTCTGTTGTGTAATGTTACTACTAGATCATATTTAATTGTGTGACTATACCATCTATCATTTACTCTTGATGGACATGTGGGTTGTTCCCAGTTTGGGGTTCTTGCATGTTACGCTGCTCTGAGCATTCTTGTTCACGTCTCTTATGCACATTGAACACATTTCTGTTGCAGATATGCCTGGGGTAGAATTGCTGGGTCATTGGGAATGCATATCTCCAACTCTGGCTGATGAGGTCTGCTTTCTCAAGTGGGTGTAGCCAGCAGAGCATGAGCTGCAGTTGCTTCACATCAGAAAAAACACTTAATATTGGCCTTCGTTTTAGGTATTTGGTATCTCACTGTGGTTTTAATTTGGATTTCCCTGATGACAAGTAAAGGTGAGCACCTTTCATATGCTTGTTGGCATTTCAATGTCCATCTTTTGAGAATTGCCCCTTCACGTCCCTTGCTTATTTTTCTACTGAGTTGCCTGCATTTTCCCTCTGGTTTTAGAACAGTTCTTTTATATTCAGGCTTTCAGCCTTCTGTTGCTTATATGTGTTGCAAGCATCTTCGTTTGGGCTTGGCATTTCATTTTTTTCATGGTGCTTTTTGATAATCAGGATTCCTTAATTTTAATGTAGGCACATTTATCAATCTTTTCCTTTGATTGGCACTTTTTGTGTTTTGCTTAAAACAACTCTTTCTCAACCCCAAGGTCATAAAGATAGTCTATATTATATGCTAACAGCTTTTGAATGGCTACTTAACTTTATTTGAGATCATTAATTTATTTCAGATTATTCTCCCTATTGTTGCACATTTAGGCTTTCTTTGGTTTGGTTTTGTTTTGTTTTAAGATTTTATTGGTGAATTAGGGGAACAGAACAACACTGGGGAACCAGGGGAAGGAGAACAGACAAGTTGCTGTCCTTTTGTTCTTCAGTCTATTTGTGGAGGACGTCGCTTCACTGGCCCATGTTGGTATTATCATTGCGCTCTTCCTGGGTGAGGCAGATCGGTCGCCGGCCTCTGGATGGCCGCTCACAGCGGCTCTTGGCAGCTCACATAGGCTGCCAGCCGCTCACGCTGGCTGCCTGCCACTCACAGTAACTCATGGCAGCCCACTGCAGCAGGGGCTGCAGCCTACGCTGATGCCGGTGACTCATGGCGGCCTAGCTCCAGGTCGAGCTGCTGCTCACCATCTTAGCTCTAGAGGGCAGTGTCACTGGCCCTCATGTGGGATCTGAACCATGGCCCTGCTGCTTAGAGCTGGTGTCCCAAGCCAGCTCTTAACCAACGTGCCACTCGGCCGGCCCTTGTTCTGTTTTTTAACTATTATAAATGTTGTGGGAACAACTCCCATTACTCTTCTCAGTCTCATCCAACCCCTCTGGGACTTGAGAAAAGGAAGTGGAGGATGAGGTAAGGTGGGTATTCATTGCCAACCTAGCCCACTAACATTCTAGATTTGGTCTCTTTCTTGAATTCCAAATCCTTGAATTCCAAATCACGTCTCCCACTTCCTGCCCAGCTTTTCCTCTGGAATGCTTCCCATCTTCACCAACTTGGGGGAGGCTTCTATAGTCAAAAGTCAGGAGACCCAGACATTTGACCTTGACAGGAAGAACGCCCGCATCTCTGCCTCCTCTGGCTCCTGTGGAGATCAAGGTGCAGAATCTTGCATCTCCAGACTGCCCGTCCGGTGCCCTTTCCCCTGACTCACCAGAACCAATCAGCAGTCAGACCAAGGTCCTGGCTTTTGCATCCTGGAATGCTGCAGGGGCAGTTTCCTGGTGTGATTCACCAAGAATTTTTAGTCTGACTCGGAGACCGGCTTGGGGAAGGGGACACAAGTGTCCTCAGCCAGTAAGCTTCTTTGGAGCCTCTCAGTCCCCAGAGATCTCTGCCTTCCTGAGCTCATAGTCTTCGTCATCCCGGAAGACCATCGTGTCCCCCCTTGAGAGGGCACCCAGTCCATCCTCTTTGCTGTTATTTTCCCGTGTGGTGCTGTTTCTCCAGCTGTGAGCAGCTCCCGGTCAGGAGTACGTGTATATTCCTCTGCCTCGCCCTAGCCCGGTAGCTGGACAGGGATAACAGTCGGAAGTCAGGAGAGTTAGCCAGCAGGTGGGGTTTGTGGAGTTCTTTGGTAATAGCACATTTTGCGGTTAGAACCCCACCTGGAGGAAGGATCCCAGAGTGGTCCAAAATGTGCACCTCCGGCCTGTTGGCTGACCGCTGTCACAGAAAAGTGACGAAGGAGCTTGGGCAAAGTCCCACAGGCCCTGGCAAGTAGATTTTCAAAAACCAAGCCTGTCTCACTGGCAAAGGCTTAAGTGTCCTCCGAAATAGCTCCACCCAAAGGTCATACTCACTGATGGGGAAGTTAATCCCCTAAGAAGATCCTGTCTGTACACTCTGAAGGTTTAGAATCTAAAGTGAACAACAGCTGGTACGTGCTGGGAGAAGAGCAGCTCCAGGAGCTGGGAGCAGGCCCTGAGCTGGAGTCAGGAAACCTGAGCTCAGGCCTGGCTCAGCCACCGTGCGCCCTGTGACATTGGGCCTCCTGGTGAACTTCATTCCCTTAGCCTGTGCCCTTGTATCCCCAGCAAGAGGCAGCCCTGCCCAGACACTGCACAGAGGTGGTGTCAGAACAAATGACACATTATATATAAAAGTACTTTGAAGAGCTTAAGGTGTTATAGTGACATGAAGGATTATTAGAAAAATACGTTCTGAGAGATGGAAGGGGCAGGCCTCTGATACCTCTCAATGTACTTTACTGTGTAGTAGAAACAATCTCTTATTTGTTCAGTACTTGATAATTCACAAAGGGTTTCTAGGTCCTTTATCTCACCCGAGTCTCACTGTAACTCAGCGAGGCAGGCAGGGTGGGGATTATTTTCCTTGACCACAGATCAGGTAAAGAAAAGGAGACTTAGAGACCATCGGGATTTTCCCCATGATCTAGGACTAACAGATCTAGTCACAGATCTAGGACTAACCCCCCCTTTTGTAGCTCTCTATGCTCCTTATGATGGGCCCATTATGGTGTTCCCTGTTTCAGTTGCTGCAACCCCATGAGGCAATTTCCCACAACGTGTGTAAACACATCCTAGCAGGCCCCAGAACTCTCATGTGACTGGAAGGGGTGGGGCAGGAGGGGGTAAGAGAGAAGAGGGGTGTGGTTATCTCCTAAGCAATGGGAAATTATTAAAATGTTTTCAGCAGAGAAATACTATGATCAGCACTATATATATATATATATGCTTTCCTTCTCCACTTTTTCCTTCTTTTCCTACTCTTTCTTTTCTCCTTTTCCTCTCTTTTTTCTCTTCTTTATTCTTCATTTACTTTATATAATTCCCTAGAAAGAGGAAGAAAGGAAAATTATGGGATCTTTGTCATGAGAATCCTTAACTGCTCAGCTAGCTAGAGCCTAACTCTCTGGCTCCTTGCATTTATAGGATGTCAGGGTCCTGCTCAGAACCCAGCAAGGGTTCTGCCCAAAGACTCCCTTCCCCAGGAAGGCAGTTTTAGGGGCTTCATGCTACAGGAGCATGGCCAGGATTCAGTAAAGGAGTGCGATGCAGCAGGCACGTGCCCCTAATAGCTTGCCTCCCAAAATGCTGGAACCAGGCCCCTGGTGCCCTCCTTGGCCCTCTGGGAAGGACATTGCCTCAAGAATTGACTAAAGTGGCCCAGAACCTGGGATCCTGGTATGTGCCCTTCTCCAGTGGGTGCCTGTCATTCAGAGTTACATATTCTGCAGGCCACTAGCAAGTGGCCAAGTGACTGATGTGTGCATCTTGAGATGCCTCCTCTAGGCTGTCCACTCCATCCTCCTCTAGGCTGTCCACTCCATCCTCCTCCCCAGCTTCCTTAGCCTACCAGCCTGACTTCCTAATCATTTGTCTGTGTCCCACGTAGATCACATGCCTGACAGCTGGGTCCCAAGTTAGAGGCTTTGATCAGGATGTAAATAGAAAAAGCTAGCACATGTGCTTGTGTGCATGTGTGTGCATAGGCATGTGTGCATGTGTGTACATGCATGCATGTGTGTGTATGTGCCTGTGTGTATGCATGCATGTGCATGTGCAAACATGCATGAGTGTGTGGTGTCTTGGGAAGAAAAAGTATACAGTTGTCTCTACAGAGAACCTCTGCCTAATTGATCTTGCTCAGTATCATATTTCCAGTATCGGGCAAGTAGTTGGCACCTAAGAAATATTCTTTGAATAAATGAATGAATGAACAATAAGTGAATGAAACAAGACTAAAACTGGAGCGTATCTGTTGCCTGGATATAGCAACCAGAAAGTCCTTGGAGACCTCACTAGCATGTTTCTAAGGAGCACCAGCAGGGCAGGCCTGGTGCTGACAGTGGAAGAGTACAGAGGAGGTGAGTAGGGAGCATGGGCAGCTTTTAGGGAGTTTGGAGTAAACGAAGGGAGTCCCAAGAACCGCAGGAGGGGTGGAGATGGGGGTGGGGATAGGAGAACCTGTTTGAGCTGAAGAGTCCTGTGGAGAATATCACTGGCCTCATTCACATCAGCATTGCCAGTCTCAGATCTTGACCTTGCTGCTTCCCCTTCCCAAAATAAAATCAGCCTCTGTTTTCTCTTGCTTTCCTTGAACACAGGCCTTACAACTTACTCACACCAGGACCTGTGATTCACTAAGTTGGTCTTCTAGACATTTTTGACAGCCTTTGCAGCTGGTACCCCTGCCTGGCTGCTTTAACAGTGGTCTTGCCTTCCTGTGGGATTCCCAGAGCACTCCAGCTTCTGCCAGTTGTGCTCGCCCTTCGATGAAGCAGAAGACCCTGGTCTGCAGACATAGAGAAGAGCAGAGGGAAGGCCGCCTCCATCCCGGAGACACAGAGCGGGGAGCCTCGTGTTTGATGTTCAAGTTCCTCACTTCTGTTCCAGGAGGCTTCTGTTCTTTCCAACCAAATGATACTATAGGCCCGCAGCTTGGACATTCCCACCTGAACAAATTCAAAATGTAACCACGCACACTCTTTAAGACCCTCAGCCAGGTACTTCTCTTTCAACTACCCCATCTGGGTCATCATTACCAGTACTTGGAGTCGTATTTTTGTCATGTGCTCATTCACCCAGGAGGCGCCTCTTACCTTTCCATTTCCTCCATCCCTATTCCCACTGCTCTACTGCAAACTTCCTGACCTGAAGTCTCCATTCAGCACCAGTTTCCTTCCCGCATCTCTGATTCCAGAGTCTCTCTTCTCCATCCCATTCTGCAGGCCTCCACATCGTGTTTTCTTTTTCATTATTTGAAATTATGCATTCTGTCATGTATTCAGAAGAACATACAAAAGATTTTTGCACAATTTAGAGTAAATGTATGTGGAGGGCTATATCCATCCCCCATGCTAAGAAACAGAACACTGCCAATACCCACTAATTTCTTTAAATGTCTCTTTTAAGTTGTTCAAGAACCTTTGGAGGCTCCCTATTGCTTATCTAATTTCCCCAGCATGTCTTTAAGCCAGGCCCCATCAGGCTGGCCCCACCATGCTTAATAATCCTCTCGTCATTATACTTAGTCTAAGAGCACAGGATGAGAAACATAAAACCTAATTCTAGTCCTTTCTCTGTTATTGATTAGCTGTCTGAATTTAAACATATTGTCTAGCTTTCTGAATCAAGCAGGACTCTTTCAGTAGCAAGTAACAGAAACCAAATTAAAATTGGCTTAAATAAAAAAGAAAATGTTAGTGACTCACCTCTCTGAAAATGCTAGAAGAAGTCTGATTTCAGGCACAGCTGGATCTAAGGACCTACCTAAACGATGTCACCAGGAGGTGGTCTCTTTGCACTGCTTTCCACCGTTTGGTTTTATTCTCTCCCCCAGTTGTTCCAGCAAAGGTACTGAATGTGAATCTCAGCGACCTGCTTGGAGTACATGCCCATCTCTGTAGTACTGTGGCCAGTGTTGGACCAGGTCTGGTATGCCCACCCTGGATTCAAGAGTGAGGCCAGAACCTTGGTTGGTCTGAGAGTGGAGATAGATGCTTTCCCAAGGAAAGCCAAGGTTCTGGTTGCCAAAGATGGGAGAGAAGGATGCTGAACAAACAAAATCAACAGAGACTCTCCAGTTCTCACTTTCCTTGTGCGTGGGAATCTGTTCTGTCAAATGCTCAAGGCTGCTGAGAAGATTGAACAAAGATCAGGGCTGTGAAGGGTCTTTGAAAACTTTAAATTCAATAGAAATTGGAGTGATTTTTGAAAATAATGGTTTGCCTTTTCCTCAGACTGTTTATCTGTCCAGAACTGAATGCCCTTTGATTGTTTATCCAAAACCTACTCTTTCTTGAGCCCCCAGTCCAGTGAGAACTGGACCTTTCTCAGCACCTAGAGCAGCGGTTCTCAACCTGTGGGTCGCGACCCCTTTGGGGATTGAATGACCCTTTCACAGGGGTTGCCTAAGACCATCGGAAAACAAAAAGGTATTTACATTATGATTCATAACAGTAGCAAAATTACAGTTATAGAGTAGCAACGAAAATAATTTTATGGTTGGGGATCACCACAACATGAGGAACTGTATTAAGGGGTCGTGGCATTAGGAAGGTTGAGAACCGCTGACCTAGAGCCTCTTGGGTGCCTGTGGACCCTCTCAGCATTTACTTGGCCCACATTGCTTAGCAATTAATTAGATATGATCTTTCATTGTCTTGTTTATTGTTTAAGAATATTACAGTGTCTTTGACAGTACACACATGGATCGTCAACACTTACGGATGAACTGGAGACAGTTTTGGGTCCCAGGATAGCTCTTCCTCTCCTCCTGGGTTGCTTAACGCTTCTCTGTGTCGGCTCAGGAAGTTCATGCTAATTTTAATTTTGGCTTAAAATAGAAACAAAAAAATGTATCAGTTGTATTGTTCCTTAGGAGTTTCACATGCCTTGTTCTCCTCTCTCCAGTTATTTAATAGGCTCCCTGAAGGGAGAACCTGTGTCTCTTGTTCTCTACTCCGTATAAGGCCCAAGCCACAGTGAACACATATTAAGTGTATAGTATATTCCTTTTAGTTGATTTAAAAGTTGACCTTGCAAAGAGACAGAAAAAAAAGTCAATAAGCTAAGCCGGAAAGGTTTGCACTCATACCATAGTTAACTTAGTCCCAGGGCCCCCAGATCTCCAGTTGACATCTGGTCTCATGATATACACTTAGTCCCAAAGTCCTGGTGCAACTACGGGCACCTTTCCCAGCTTCCTTGACCTGGCTTTTGTCTCTTCCTTGGGGAGGTGCCATCTCACCACTTATTTCTCCAGAGCTACACCCTTTGTAACTAAAGCCAAGATTCTCACTCTGCCATTCCCCAGGACTCTTCCACCAGCCCCAGTTTCTACTTTAAGGAATGCATTTATTTATTTATTTTTTGTCCAAGTAATGGGAGGAAGGCAGAACTTGAACATGAACCTCACCCTCTTCCTTCTCTGACAGACAGTGGATAGTTTCTTGTAGCCCAACAGTAGGTCTGCACCTCAACCATTTAATGCCCGTAACAAGCACACAAGACACACATAGAGACAAAGTGTAATAGAGACAAAGAGTGTCAACCCAAAGAGCATCAACCCAAAGAGCTTCTTTCTTTCAGAAGGATGCCCTTCACTCTGGCAGGCCATGGGGAAGAAACGTGGGAGTCCTGGGATTTTTCTTTCACTTTCTCCTGTCTTCAGAAGCCAGCCCTGGTGACTTGGTAACATAAACCTAGGGTTTAGATAGGTGGGGCACAGTTTCCCGTTCAGGTTCACCCAGTTTTCCCAGGCAGAGAGGAGTGTACTGAGGCTGTAGGCAAGAGAGGAAGCCCAAGACAGAGGAAGGACAGGGCGTTAGTTCCTCAACTTGTTGAGACCGAAGTTGTGTAGCAAGACAAGCTGGAGCATGCTCAGCATTTCTCCTTCCTGACTTGGGTTTCACCTCTACCCCAGTTCAGTGGCAGCCCTCTTGGCTCAGAAGGCTGAGGGAGCCAAGAGGAGGAAGCTTGTACCATCCCTCATATAGTAGGGGTGGGAGTGGGTGGAGTTTTAAAATAAGGGAGGAAGAAATGAAAGAGATAATGGTGAAAGGAAGAATAATGCTATTTTCAGTGATTCTCTGTCATGGGGAGGGGGCGGTCACAAATTAGGAGATTGAGTCTGAGTTTCCTGCATTCAGTCAACTTGGATGACTCCAAAGGCATCAATGATTGGTCTTTCAAATGCTCAGAATTCTCTCATCAAGAAGAGAGAATAGTTAGAGAGCAGGAAACCTATGGGCTGAGGAGTGAGGTGAGCTGGACTCTACTCCAGCCTTGTACTGGACAGGCAGGTTATGGACGCCCAGATGCTTCAGTCCACTTTGGAGAAAAGCAGGAAGAAAAAAGTCAGCCCACCTACTTCAGTGAGAAACCCATGAGCACCTCAGGTCTGATCCTGACCTTCATCTTTCCCCCCTATTTCCCTTGCCCAGTTGTGGTGGTCGAGAGGGGTTCTCTTCAGCATCAAGGATACAAATCCGGCCAGAGAATAGAATGCTACAACGTCAGAACTGGATGAGGCCTAAGGATGCACAAAGTGCAGGCTAAGCATTTTATGGGACACAGAGGGCTTAGGCGGGTTGTGCTGTGTCATACAGCCCTTCAGCTCCCAGGCAGCAGTGGTAGGGGTGGGGGTGGGGTGGAGTTCTAAAGTAAGCCTCTAACAAAGGCTGAGTCAGTTACATTGCCCTAACTCTGGATCTGGCTTCTCTTGTTCCTCTACCCTGTCCACTTTGCCCTCTAGTCACACAAAATTTGTTATTATTCCTGACCATGACAGGCATGACTGCTGTTTGAAGCTTCATGGGTTGTGCACTGCACAGTTCCTGGAGGTGCCACTCCCATAGACGAAGGAGTGCACAGCACCTCCAAGAATCATGCACAATTGTACTAGCCTGCTCTGAGCCAAGACCTTTTATGACTTTCTTCCTTTCCATGTATTGCATCCTCTACCAAGAATGCCCTTGTTTGCCTTCCCTCCTACCATCTCTTCACCTGGTGAACCATCTAACACAAATGTAACAACTGAATACTTCTGGAAATGCTCAAAGCCATTAAGAAGAAACACCTTACAGACAAGAGCCTCAAACTGGCCCATTGTTAGCTCATTCCGCCTGTCAGTTTTATCATGCCTGTGGGATGTTCTGAAAAGCAAGGTACATAAAATCCATCAGAATGGCTAAAATGAAAAAGACATAACAGTAAGTGTCAGTGAGGATATGGAGCAACTGGAATTCTGATGCAATGCTAGTGGGAATGTAAATATGAATAACGACTTCGGAGAACTATTTGGTAACATCTAGTAAAGTAAACCTATCCTGTGACTCAGCAGTTCTACTCCTAGAAATACATACATATAACACACACAAAAATGTACAGATGTGCTCATAGCAGCATTATTCATAATAGCCCCAAACTGGAAACAACTCAAATGTCATCAACAGTAGAATAGATGGATAATGTGGTATATTCATAAAATGGAATGTTTACACAGCAATGAACATGAATGAATTGCTGCTTCACATAGCACGCATGAATCTGACAAACAAAATGCTGAGTGAAAGAAGCCAGGCACCAGAGTACCGTATTTCCCCATGTATAAGACGCACCTTAATTTTTGGGCCCGAAATTTGAAAAAAAATGTATTACATAAAGTTATTGAACTCAAGTTTTATTCATCATAAAATTCATACAACTCCTCATCACTGTCAAAAAATCTACAACCACTGTATAAGACCCATCCAGTTGTTAGACCCCAAAATTTTTGAAAAATGGTGCATCTTATACATGGGGAAATATGGTACATTCTACATGATTTCATTTATATAAAGTTCAAAAACAGGCACTACAGTGTTAGAAATTAGAATAGTGGTTACCCTAGGAGGATAGGTAATAATTGGAAAAGAACATGAAGTTTCTGGGGCGATAGTGTTATTCATTGGGTTGTCGGAAAAGTCATGACGCATTTTTGCAACGAAAAACATAGAAAAATACGTCATAACTTTTCCAACAGCCCAATATCTATTAATATGGGAAGTGGCTACACATGTGTATTTATTTTGTGTGAGTTTATTGAGACATACACTTAGGATTTGTACACTTTTATGTATGCATGCTATGCTTCCATTAAAAAGATTACTTAAAGGAATAAAAGCAATGTCTATTATTGGCCACAGTGAAGTAATAGGGCTAAGTGCATCCTACGTTGCACATCAAGGGCAGACAGGGGTTCACAAGAGGAAATACACACTTTTTCTGGTCTGGGAAATCCGAAAAAAGAAGCCAGGAAACCAGTGAAGACTGAAAGGAGTGGAACTTCAGAAAGAAAAGAAACAGAGGAGCTCTCCAAACTTTGTCTACCCATACCTCTGACTGATGCTTGAACCAAGCATGCATGGAACAGACTCAGCAGCTCAACTAAAGACAAATGATGTGAACCCAAAATGAAGATGCACAAGAAAACAAGATTTGCTATTTCAACCCAGCCAAGAACATTACCTGCTAAACCAAAGGATATAATTGTCATTGGTGAAAAATAATTGCATTAGTCAGGGTTCTCCAGAGAAACAGAACCATCTCTTTCTCTCTCTTTCTCTCTCTTTCTCTCTCTCCCTCTCTCTCTCTCTCTCTCTCTCTCTCTCTCTCTCTCTCTATTTATTTTAGAGGCTGAGTGATTTATTTTAAGGAATTGATTCATACAATTGTGGAGGCTTGGTAAGTCCAAAGTCTGCAGAGCAGGCTGGCAAGCTGGAGACGCAGGGAAGAGTTTCAGTTTGAGTCTAAAGGTAGTCTGTTGGCAGAATTTATTCTTGTTCAAGAAAGGTCAGTCTTTGTTCTATTAAGACCTTCAAATTATTTGATGAGGCCTACCTATTTATTGAGGGTAATTGCTTTACTCAGACTCCAACAATTTATGTTAATTTTATCCAAAAAAAATCTTCACAGAAATATCCAAAATAATGTTTGGGAAAATATCTAGGCACTGTGACCCAGCTAAACTGACCAGCCAAAAGCAACCATCAACAATAACAGTATCTAGAATCCCCACAAATGAACGTTCACAACATTCATAAAATTAACATCCAAAATTACCTGCAAATGAAGGATCAAGAAAATAACACATATTCTCAAGAGAAAAATCAATCAATTACAACCCAGAGATGAACCAGATGTTGGAACTAACAGACAAGAATTTTAAAGCAGGTATTATAATTACCTTCAATAAAGTAAAACAAAACTTGTTTTCAATGCATGCAAATTTCACCAGAGAAACTGGAAGTCTCATCAGAGAAACAGAAACAATTATAAAGGAACCAAATAGCAATCCTGAAGATAAATGATACAATTTCTGAAATAAAGAATTTACTGGGTGGGCTTAACAGCTGAATAGACATGCGAGAGGCATGAGCCAGTGAACTTGGAGCGAGATCAATCAAAATTATCCAATGTGAATAACAAAGAAAAAAAACCTCATCAAATTAAACACCCATTTATCCAAGAAAAAGGAAAAAAATGTGTCTTACAGAAAAACGTACATGAAGGTTTGAAGGAACTTTATTCAAAATAGGAAAAACTCAGAAACAATCTAAAATGTCCATTATTGATGAATGGATAAACAATTTGTGGTATGCTCATTCAATTCAATACTACCCAGCAATTAAAAGGAACAGACTACTGATACATGCACAATAGGAATGAATCTTAAAAGCATTATGCTAGGGGCAGCCAATTAGCTAAGTTGATCAGAGTGCAGTGCTCATAACACCAAGGTTGCCAGTTTGATCCCCACATGGGCCACTGATGCACCCTCCACAACTAGATTGAAACAACTACTTGACTTGGAGCTGATGGGTCCTGGAAAGACACACTGTTCCCCAATAAAAAATTTTTAAAAAGCATTATGCTAAGAGAAAGAAGCTAGGCACAAAAGATTACATAATGTATGGTTCCATTTATAGAAAATTCTGGAAAAGGCAAAACAACAGTGATAGAAAATAGATCAGTAGTTGCCAGAGGCCAGAAGTTGGAAAAGGATTGACTGCTAAGAACCATGAGAGAACTTTGGTGTAATAGAAATATCTTATATCATGATTGCGGTGGTTGGTTGCATTTGTCAAAACTCACTGAATTGTACAATTAAAGTTGGCAAATTGTATAGTGTGCAAGTTACATCTCAATAAAGCTGACCAAATAAATAAAAGGCTCATTTTATACGTGTAGAGTAGCTGCTTGCCTACTTTCTGCCTCTAGCATGCATAAGAGTTTGCAATCCCTGACTAGTATTTTATGTTTTCAAAGCTTTTCATATTCTTTCTTTAATGTACTATGCTAGCTGAGTTTGGGAACATGATAATTTGCCTTTCAGAATTTGCCTTCTTGGGCCCTAAGACAAAGCAGAAGTTATACGACTTGTTAGGGTGTAAAAAGAGGGGTGGGAGAATGTAGGACAAGGCCAATTAGGAAAATTGCAAATTAGGAAAAGTGTCCCCTTCCCCAAGTAAAAGCATTTGAAGTTAGTATATTTTTGTACAACCTATACGGTGGCACGTGCTGGCTCAGCTCCTTGGCTGACTCAGGCAGCCTTCCAGTGTCCCAGCATGGACGATCCCTGGTTGGGCTCAGGCATATTCACACCCTTGCTGCTCTCTCACACAGCCCATTGCCACTATGAGCCAGCCACTTCCTCCTTCTTCCAGCCTCCTATGTGAACTACGTCACCTTTAAAGTTCTGGGGTGAGGGGTGAGTGTTAGAAGCTGGGCCCCTGAGAGCAAGCAGGTGGTGAGAGAAGAAACCTCAAGTACACCACCGTGCAGTTGAGGCAAGCATGGTTGTGCACTGGCTGTGAGTGCGCGCAAGCATTTGCTCTCAAGTCTGCATGGCTGTGTATGCAAGTGGCGGTTTACGTGGATGGGTGCTGCTCCAGCCAGAAAGCCTAGAATGTCTACAAGTGCTTACCTATTCTCATTTAAGTTGGCTCATGTCTGGCTGTGAATGCTGCCTCCTTCAATATGGTGTAGGGCACAATCTGAATCACTGTACCTGGTAGCCCTGGGTAAGGATCCCTAAAACCTCTCTTCTTCCTCCTAAGGAGAAACCCCTACTGGTCACCTGAGAAGCAAGAGCCTCCCACACCTTCCCAAACGCCAGTAATATTATAAATGTCTCCAGGTCTTGTTGCCAACTTTTCCACACAGTACCAGGAGGAGCTGGGGGGCGGGGTGGGGTAGATGAACATCTTCTATTGGCTGCCTCCATCCCTTGGGTCCAGGACACAACATATAGCAGGTAGAGCCTTCTCTGTCCCTCATACCTGACCACCCAGAAGCCTCCTTCTTCCCTTGACATCTTCTCTCCCAGAATAGCACAGATGTCAGCCTTTGCCGTTTACACTGGTGCTAATAAATGACAGAAACCTTGGTCTAGCGTGGCCCCTTCCCAGGACTCTCTCTTTTAATCTTGTAGATGCCGGGCCTCAAAGAAGGAATTGCATTCTTATGCTTAATATTCAAAGGCTCAGTTTTTCATTTCATCTTGTTCTTTTTTATAAACAAATATATGTTGAGCAACTACTGTCTTCCATGTTCTGGCTAGGTGCCAGAGATATTTCAGTGAACAAAACAAATATATATATTTGTGCCATTATTTATTACATCTGTTTTTTTCTTTTTTTTTAAAGATTTTTATTGGGGAATTGGGGGGATGGGAACAGTGCTGGGGAACTGGGGGAAGGGGAACAGACAAGTTGCTGTCCTTTTGTTCTTCAATCTAGTTGTGGAGGACGTTGCTTCACTGGCCCAAGCTGGCACCATCATTGTGCTCTTCCCGGGCGAGGCAGATCAGTTGCCGGCTTCTGGACGGCTGCTCACGGCGGCTGCTGGCCACGGCGGCTGCTGGCTACATACGGTAGCCCATGGTAACCCACTGCAGCAGGGGCTGCAGCCCACACTGTCGCCTGTGACTCACAGCAGCCCAGCTCCAGGTTGAGCTGTTGTTCAGCATCTTAGCTGTAGAGGTCAGTGTCACTGGACGTCATATGTGGGATCCTAACTGGGGCCCTCTGGCATCCCAAGCCAGCTCTTAACCAACGTGCCACTCGGCTGGCCCTATTACATCTGGTTTTTAAAGGCAACCTAAGGACAATTGCCTTTACCAAATATTTTCTCCTCCCTGCCTTCACTGTCAAGGTAAATCTTTGCCCTTCACATCTAAGCTCAAATAACGAAGAGACTGGAAGGTACATACCACCAAATTGTTATCGATGGTGCCTTTATGGGTAGCTTTAAATGCCCTTTGTTTCTGTATTTTCTAAAGTTTCAGCATTTGTTATTTTTGTACACAAAAAACCCCCAATAAAAGATACTTTAAAAATACACACACACACAAACCCTTCAGTTTAAATATCGTCTCCTGGGGACAACTTCCCTGACCACCCCTCTCTCCAGGATGACTTTGGGGTCCCTCTTCTGTACACACAGCACCCTGCACTTCCCTCTCTCCTAGCTCATAGAAGCACAGGAAGCATTAACGTGTGCCCCTCCCTTGGACTGTGACCTGGAGGGCAGGGACTGTCTTATTCACTTCTGACTCCCCAGCCCGAAACAAAATGCCTGGTTCCCTTTAAGAGTTCAGAAAGTGTCTGTTGAATGAACAAATGGATGAAGTTATCAAGTCATGGCTTAAGAAACAAGACCGAGGTCCAGGAGCTAGACCTACAGTGGTGAGGGAGGCAGTGAGTCTTAAGTCTAGTTACTGAAACACTTCCTCTCAGGGTCCAAGTCAAACTAAAAGGGAAATTTGATGCTGAATTCTCTGAAATTGGGCTAAACCTTTTAAAATCTTCCTGGTGAGGCTGAAATGGGGAGGTTTATAGAACCTGGGATACAGGTAGCCTGTAGGAAGGAATTCAGTAACCCTAGGCGTGGAGTATCACAGTTTGAAATTATCTATTGATTTGTTTGCTTTTTTGTTACGTGTCACCTCTCATTAGCTTGAACATTCCATGAAGATAGGGATCTTATCTGGCTTGTATCACAAGGGCTCAGTCCGATGCCTGGCACATTGATGGCATTCAATAAATATTTGTTGAATTAATGTTGAATGAATAAACGCACTCTAAACCAAACCCATGAAAGAGAGACCAAATGCAGCACTATTCATTCATCCTGTAAAATATAATTGACAATAGGCCTGAAGAAACCCCAGTCAGCACATTTCTGACTCTGCGGGAAGGCGTATTTCAGAAGCCACAAGTAGATCTGAGAGTTGCTTGGTAAATACAGAGTTGGACTAAAAGGACTTGGAAGATCTTACGAGCCTGTGTCACTGAGCTGTGGCACCCCGATGAGTCATGCTTTCCCACACAGGAACAGTCAGCCCTTGCCAAACAGGATTATGCCTTGTCCAATGCTGCCATCTCTTTCCTGTCACCGTGGGAGAAACACTAATAGTCTGTCGTCCCCCATCCTCCCTTCTCAGTACTCCCTATTGGTCATAATGCTTCAATCTTTTAGGTTTTGACCTCATGTTACAGTGTCCAGGATTATACACTGTCCCTTATTGGTTCCATTTTCCATTGGGTCTTCCCAGTGAGATTTTGGCTACAGTTTCACATATCTTGCTAGAGATAAACAATCCCAGACCCCAGTTCAAAACCCTCAACTATCTGAGTTGCAGAGTCACTCATTGTCACTGTACCTCAATTTCCCTATCTGTAGAAGACGAAATAACATATCCTTTTCATGTATCTCACAGGGCTGGTAAGCCAAAGAAATTGAAGACTATGAATATGAATACCTGAGAAGTTGTGTTTGACCCTTATAATTAAAGTTGTATACCAGATTTGCCACTAATGAGCTACACGACAACAAATAAGTCATTTTGTGAGATACTTAGCTCAGTGTCTTGTTCTTAATAAGCCATATCAATAATAAATACTTCCATTTCATGACCATGAAATGAATTGAGACATTACCCCAAATTCCCAAGGAGCATGCTTGAGGAAAAATAGTTGGTTGCTTTTTGTGTACAAAAATAGCTACTGTGCTTTTGCTTTGTTGAGTATGATGTTTAAGCTTGAGACTATGATTGAATGGTTTGGGAAAAAAGAGGGAATTTCAGAAGCTGTGTGGTAGGAGGGGTGAAGAGAAGAGACCTGGCAATGTGGTAGCGAGGGAGAAAACTGTTTTGGTGGAAGAACCGGTCTAGCTAGTCAAATGGAGGGATCTAATAAAGTTTTGCTTTGTGATGTGTGAGGTAATTCTCTTCTCCATCTTCCCATAAAGCTTTCAGTAAAACCTCATTAGTCATAAATACTGCTGTACTTGAATGTATTGGAGAGATGCAAACCAAGTACTCAGTCTGGCCTTGATGGGTACAGGGAGTGAGAATAAAAGCTAATCATCTGGCTAGAATATCGATTTAAAAATGAAGAGGTGAATTATGTGACCTAATGGGCTCTCCCAGCCCTAGTGGTCTATGATTCTACATATGGGAGAGATAGAAATTCTGATGCAGTAGGTTGTGGAGGAGCTTGGGAATTCCCATAAAATTTTTTTTCACAGATGATTATGATGCACACCAACATTTTGGCATCATTGTACATGTCCTCATCATAATCTACACTCAAATGTTCAATGACCCACAGAAAAGTCACCCTCCTCCCCAATCTCCAGTATGCATTATTGCTGACAAAAGCAACTGGGGTGTGCTCAGAGAATATAAACTCATATTAGTATTGTTCTAAGTAAAACATGTTTACAAAAATGATGTTGCATCAGTGGGGGAAAGAATACAACAATAAATGGTGCCACATACAAAAGGATAAAGTTGAACCCCTACTTCACACCATATTAAAAAAATTTACTGAAAATGGATTATAGATCTAAATGTAGGAGCGAAAACCATAAACCTCTTAAAAAACAACATAGGAGTAAATCTTCTTGATCTTGTATTGGGTACTGGATTTTTTAGACATGATACCAAAAGTACAAGTGAGAGAGAGAGAAAAAAAAGATAAATTAGACTCTCAAAATTTTAAACTTTTGTGTTTCAGTGGACACCATCAAAAAGGTGAAAAGAAAACCCACAGAATGGGAGAAAATATTTGCAAATCATATTTCTGATAAGGGATTTGTATCCAGAATATATAAATAACTGCTACAAATTAAAAAAGACAACCCAGTTCAAAACTGAATAGCTATTTCTCCAAAGAAGATATACAAATGGCAGTAAATACATGAAAAGATGCTCAACATTATTACTTACTAGGGAAATGCAAATTAAAGCCACTAAGATAGCTAAAATAAAAACATAGACAATAATATGTGTTGCTGAGGATATGAAGAAACTAAAACCCTTTATACATTGCTAGCAGAAATTTTAAATGGCGCAGCTACTTTGGAAAACAGGAGCAGTTCTTCAAAAAGTTAAACATGAAGCTACCATATGACTCAGCAATTCCATTCTTAGACATGCACCCACGAGAACTGAAACATATGTCCACACAAAAACTTGTACATAAGTGTTCATAGCAGCATAATTTATAATAACCATGAAGTAGAAACAACACATATGATGAATATATAAACAAAATGTAGTATATCTATAGAATGAAATACTATCCATCCATAAAAGGAATGAAGTAC